AATTATATATTTTGTGAGAAATCTCTTGAATCGATAAATTATTTGAGTTCGAATCAGTCTAAAGTTAATTATAAGTCTTCATAGGAACGATACTCTACTCACCACTCTATTACTTGACGGCCACGTACACTTGCGTAAGTGTGTTTGGCCGCAACATTAAGCCATATAAGAAACATACTATCTCTCATCCCAAAATTATGCAACCTTTTGCTTTTAGAAAAAAACTGCATAAGACTTTAGGAGTATATAAACCCATATTGAGTTTCGCTTGTAATTATTATAATTATCTTATATAAGAAGAGACAGTGAGGTGTCTGTCTCATGAGAGATGCATGCCTGGCATTCCATGTTAATTCTTGTAAAGAAAGAGCTTCTCATTTTAGCCGCAATTCTCAGAAAACATGAGCCCACTCAAATTTTCCTTTTTCTCAAGAGTATCATAGCCTAATCCAAAATTTTCACACACAACTCTTCAACTACATATGCAGCCTTTTACCAATGCATTATTATAGTTATGTTTTTTCCTTCAATTTTATCGTGGCTATTGGCTTTAAGAGCTTCTACCAAGTTTTTGACTTTGGTAGCAACGAGTGTTGCAATTTTGTTAGTATTAATTAATTTTTTTACTTGATTGATTAGTTATTATTATTCATGAATAACAAATTCACGAGATCCCATATTTATTATTTGTCAATAACAAATTCAAGAGACCACAATAATCTGACTATGTCAAAACACAATATCATTGTATTCTTCCAAATAATTCTCATTTAATACATGAACTGAAATTGATTTCTATCTATACCTCTTTAATTTTTAACAGGAAAAAAGATGTTTAGCCAACTTAAAACAAACGATGTACCAAATAGTTGGGGTTCAACATAGATCTTAGTTAATATTGCGAAAGATAAGTTAATTGTATTCGAAGATTTTTAAAAATTTATAAAACAAAACTAACTTCTTTGAATTGCAGAGAAACTACCTTACCAGTAAAATTAATTTGATTGAAAAGGGATTGTATTCATATTTTCATATGAATGTATTCAAGTTGGTATAATCGAAGGGTATGTGACTGTATGTAAGTCGAACCCATTGTTTGGAAGGTGGATTTGTCCGGTGAATATAGAGTATAGCCTCTTCAATCAATAAATGCAACAGTAATATACAATCAGACCTCTCTAAAACAACATCATCATATAATAGTCATTCATTATAAGTTCTTCTCCAATAAAATTAATTTGATTGAAAATGGATTAGTGAGAATATTACATGTAAAACTGCGATTCCACAATGTTACTGTAAAACAACATATCGCAATTGAAGATAAAGGAATACAAAGGAAAAAATCTGACCGTCAACTTTAAAAATAATATTTACGGGTCCTACATAAATACATGCTATACAAACTACAAATGTAAAACAAAATTTTTGCAAGTCTTAAACGCTAATTTCTAAACCTCACATCCTAACTTGAAATTTTTTAATATTACATCATGATTTTAGACGTAAATCTTTATGAACTATATAAGACCAAATTCCAAAAACTATTTTTGGCACTATTTGTAAGTTAAATTGATTGGATAATCATACAAGTATTATGAATTTTTCTTAGGTCAAAAGTGGCCTTCAACATGCGCTTATATAATTATACATCACAAGTACGCTAATTTACTTTAGTTAAATGATAAACTAAAGCAAAAATATGTATTAATAAACTACATGTTGATAATAGTAATAATAATAGTGTACATTGAAACATGTTTCACATATTCATTGAATTGATACAAAAAACTTATGCCATAAATTTGTTAAAAATACAATCAAGGTGTTAAGGCCAAAGGATTTGAGCAGTTATGCTACCAGTTGCTATAGTTAGTTATCCTAAAGATATTGATCGCAGATGCACATTCAATATTAAGTTATTAACGAACATAAAGTATCCCCACACTCATTATCTTTCATTTTTTCCTTTTTGCAAATAGGTGCGCACTCAATGTAAATATATAATTTTGAAAAATTTCCAATCATGTAATACTCCTTTAGTTTCATTTTTATAACGATTTGATTAGACATGAGATTTAAACTTTCGACTTAACTTGTATATTTATGGAGTATTATAGAATATGGAAGAGACTATTATAAATTATGGCTGAAAAGCTTTTTTAATAGAATACATAACATAATCGTTTAAAATTCAGTATATATTAAGATATGGTATTCTTAAAGTTGTGAAAGTAATATAAGATAAAATAATATAAATTATTTTAATTAAAAATCTTTGAAAATAATATCATATAAATTGAACTGAATAAAGTAGTTTAATCGAAGGGTATGTGACTGTATGTAAGTCGAACCCATTGTTTGGGAGGTGGATTTGCCCGGTGAATATAGAGTATAGCCCCTTCAATCAATAAATGCAACAGTAATATACAATCACACCTCTTTAAAACAACATCATCATATAACAGTCATTCATTATAAGTTCTTCTCCAATAAATTAATTTGATTGAAAATGGATTGGTGAGAATATTAAATGTAAAACTGCGATGTGTCAAAGGAATTTGCATACAAATTAAGGGGGCAAAGTATGTATTAGACAAAATTATTTTACCTTCTAATCTATATTTAAGTTAAATAAAATGAGACAAAATACAAACTAAATATTAGCAACATTTATGAGTTTGTGATAAGGTTTGATTATATTATTGAGAGCTTTCATTCTTAATGTTGTGTATAGAGAATGATCGTTAATTAATAGGAATTCCATATATGCAACATATGAAAATATGAATAAATATTATTTGAAGTTTCGGTCAATTATCCGCTCGAATCTGAAGTAGTTCAATCTCTTTAATGCAACTTCAGAAATCAAATCTGAAGTTCATCTATCTTTCAAATGCAACTTCAGAAATTCAATTCTAAAGTAGTTTAATCTATTGAATGCAACTTCATATTTCGAATCTTAAAGTGAAACATAAACTTGTTTTTCGATTTTCAACAATCCAATACATGATTCAATGCCTAAATCTACCTTAAATGAGCTCAAATTTGAAATACATCTTTCAAAAGGAACAAATTTCAATCATCAAATTGTCGAAGCAACAATAAATTTAACAAATCCGTTTTGCAACTAAAAAAAAAGAAGAAGAAGCTAAGTATAAAGAAGAAAAAAATAACATTAAAGAAGAAAAGAAAAATGTATGTATCCGAAATTATCTAAAACTTGGGTATCAGTTAAACTTTTTCTAAAAAGTGGATATAAATTTAACGGGGGACGCAAAATTGAGCGCCACATAAAAAATTTGCCTTTGACTATGGTTATTGGGCCGGGGCATAGCCCGGGCTAACCGTAACTAGTCAAATATATAGAATGGAGTTTTGTGCATTGTTTTGGTCTGTATGTTTTATTTATGACTAGTCTTTATATTCATTTATTTGGACAAATAAAATTATGAAAAGTTTTGATACTATATTCCATTTGAATCGCTAGAAAATTTTCTTCTTTCGTTTAAACCAAGTGCAACTCGGCCAACAAATTACATAATCACACACCATAGCGGAACACAAAGCAATATCATGTACTTCTTAATATTACACTTATCAAATAATGAAAGAAAATGATGGAGCTTTAACACACTCACATACGTTAAACTCCTCAACTATCAACAAAAGGGCTTATATATATTCTTAACTTCTAGTCAAGTACGTTTCCATTTTAAGTAAGGAATACGAATGTATATCTATTGTACTAAAGCTGCACGAAAATATATTGGACTAGCAAACTATAAGACTCGTTTGGTACAAAGATATGAGATAATTAATTCCGAATTAAACTTGAGATTAGTTTATGTAACGTTTGATTGAGAATATACCTCTGGATCTATAACAAGCAATCACAGTCCGTAGCCGGAACAACCACGTACCGACCTACTGACTAGAGCTGGGCATATATCGGGTAAAACCGATAACCCGAACCGTTAATTATTTACTGGGTTATCGGTATCAGGTTATCGGGTTAATGATTCAATAACGGTTTAGAATTTTTTCACTATTGAGTTATCGGTTCGGGCCTCGGTTTGCCAATTTTGTTAATGAGTTAACCGATAATCCAATAAGAATTAATAAAATTATGACTTTACCCTTAAGTATATACATATGCTAGGGCTTCAGTTCATTCTCTCCTATTCTTTCTCAGTCGCACTCTTCAGTTGCTTCATCTTCAATCTTTATAGACCTTACTAGTTACTCCTAGCGTAAGTCTTTAGTATTATACATTAGGCTTTTAATTTCTATAACGAAATTAATCTTCAAATTGGTACTTTTGACTGTTAATGATTATTTATTTTTTTATTTTCGTTCCTTAATTTTGTGGGCTCACGTAGTGCAGCCTATACCTACTACCAATTTCTCTTCGCACTTATCAATTCTCAATCGACAATCTTCGTCAGTTTCAGGGATATTTTCGAACATTATTCTTTTGTATAGTGCTGAGCTTTGACAACAGGACAATATTTTCTTGCCTTTTAGGTGTTTTTCATTTCCGTGTTAGTATTGCCCATGCACAGATCAAGATTTTGCTTTATTGTTTCTTTTTTTAAGTTAGGCATTTGACAAACAATATCCAGTTTATCTTGGATTGTTAGTACTTTATGTTTGGACTTGTTAATTTTAAGGTGAAATGACTACTACTTTGTATTATTATTAATGTATTTGAACAACTGTTGTTGAAGAACTAATCCTATTCTAGTTGTGACCACGGGACATAACGCAGAAATTGGTAGTATACTATATGTGAATTCATCTCTTTTTTGCTTAACTCTAGTGAATTGTCTTCTCTTTTTTGTTTAACTCTAGATTGAGTTATCTTATCGGGTAAATCGATAACCGAATCGATAATGATCGATAACCGATTAACCGATAACCGATAACCGATATGCTAAACCGATAATATTGGACCCTCGCTTGTGTATAAGTACCAAACCCCCCCTCTTTCTCCTAATCTCTTATTTCCATAAAGAGTATTGTTGTCTTAATACCTCCATTCTGTGCCCTAAAAATCCATTTACTCTACTGGATCAGAAATCGGAGCCCGCCATCTTTATTCGCATATTCTTTTCCCTTAACGTCTCTCCTACTCCTATCTAGGGTTAGGGGTTTGGTTTCTAAAATTGCTCCTCCTTTCGTTCAGTTCTTGATTTTAGTTTCATTGAATATAGGACTTGTAATTGTGAAGTAAATTGAGGCGAATTTGAGATTCCCGTAGCGATGGGAGTTCCAGCATTTTACCGATGGTTAGCTGAGAAGTATCAAATGGTTATTGTGGATGTGATAGAAGAAGAGGCCGTTGTTATTGAAGGCGTGAAAATTCCAGTGGATACGAGTAAACCTAATCCGAACAAAATTGAATATGATAATCTGTACCTTGATATGAATGGTATCATCCATCCATGTTTTCACCCTGAAGACAGAGTACGTTTTTTTACTCTGATTTTGATTCAGTTATTTTTTCGTTAAATTCTGTAGCTAGTTTATTTGGGTTTAAAATTTCAGTACTAAAGTTGATAGTTTGCTTGTTATGCTTTCGAATTGTTTTTGAATTTTTGTACAATTGACCAGCAATGTACATTATGTATGGCTTGTTGTTTGTTCAATGTTAAATTTAAAAACAGGAAGAAATTTGGGAAATTTTGTTCCCAGGTGCACCCAAGGTTGTGGCCTAGCAGTCTATGAAGTGGGAGCAGAACCATGAGGACACTCAGGTTTGGATCCCAGCGGAGGCAAAAAACGCTACGCAATTTCTTCCCATCTGCATATGCTTGGTGGACAATTACCCAGAAACCACTTTCATAAAAAAAGCCAAAAAAATGTAGTTCCCGAGTGTAAGGAACAAGAAGGAAATTTTAAGCTTTTTGGTAGTTAATACGAAAATTTGCTTTTTTGTTATTTTTAACTTGGAGGCATGATGATGTCTGTCAACTTTTTCTGCTGTAATAAAATGCTAAAGAAGCGCCTCTTTAGCTGAGTCAAGAACTTTGGGACGAGCAATAATATGTCTGCCAAATCTATATATGCCTTTTAAATAAAATAAGCTGTTTATGTAGATATATTTTGTTGGTGGTGGAAAGTTGCATTGTTGGGAGTAGGTCGAGGCCACAGTAAAAATAGTCGCACTATGACGAACAAGATTTATATAGTGGACCCGAGATAATTTGGGATTGAGCCATATATTGATTGATTGTTTGAAAGGATCAATTTCATTTTACTTTAAAACATGCTTGTGTATTACTTTATAGAAAAAACATGCCCGCGTATTAATCTAGTAGATTCTATTTAAATTAAAAATGTCAAAATGGGGATTTCTCATTGCTTTGCTGCTATTTTCCTATCCATTTTATCATGGATCATATTAATTTTTGTAGCAAGAATGTATATAGAGAAAGAGTCTGGTGTTGCAAAAGGATGTGTACATTTTGGACTTCTTTTTTCCAGTCAGAGGCTAATAGAGTTGGCCAGTTTTTGTTCAAAAGAAACAAATGTTTTCATAGAAAATGAGTTTGGGCACACCTATCTTAGTTTTCTACTGCTTTAATGTTGCAGGTGAGGGCTTTTCTAGGGAGAAACCTATCTACTTTCACAATAGCTTTTAGATGTATAGAAATTGATAGAAGCTTTTCTTGTTGAACATGACTACGGCTTTTATTTTGTCAAAACTCTGTCTATATGTGTAATTATAGATTTCTGGACTGCCTGCATCAATTGGTTGGTTCCCCTTTGGATGCCATATTTGAACTACGGAATTCTAGATTTCATATTGTTCCTATTTTTCCTACAATTTATGTGGTGATACTAATATTGTCTCATTTTTGTCTTTTTGTTTTCTTGAGCCGAGGGTCTTCCGGAAACAGCCTCTCTACTCCTTCGGGGTAGAGGTAAGGTCTGCGTACACACTACCCTCCCCAGACCCCACTAGTGGGATTTTACTGGGTTGTTGTTGTTGTTTGTAATTTGTCCTAGTATCCATCTCTCTATCCTTTTTTAGTTGAAGGGGGAATATAAATAGAGCATGGGAAAGTTGTGCTCGTTTAGTGGCCAATTTTGAATCATATTGGATACTATTGGAGGATGCTGGCCTTTTGGTTTTTGTCTGTGTGATGACTGATGTGTATGCTATTTCCATCTCTTATGCATTGTCTTCTAGCTTACTATACTTTCTTATGCAGCCTTCTCCAACGACATTTGAGGAGGTCTTTCAGTGCATGTTTGACTACATAGACAGGCTTTTCTCTATGGTGCGTCCTCGAAAGCTGCTATATATGGCTATTGGTGGGTAATAAGGTCGAAATGCCTTTTAATGATAGTATGGATGATGTATTTAGGATAAAATGTATTTCAGAACAGGAAGTTGGATGATGGAAAAGAAAAATCTTTTCAAATTTTGTAAGTAGGAAATAAAGGAAAATGGTATTGCAAAAGGGATTTAACATGCATGTTAATTCACTCCTTAAAACCGATTTCCTACTTCTATGATCATTAACCCCTCTCTATTGGTTTGAATTATGTCTCATTTTCATTCATCATAAATTTATTTTATCAAATTATGTCTCATATTCATATCTTCAACATGTATATACGTGCACACATTTCCATTTCTGATATTTTGATATCCTTTACAGTTAATCGGCGTATTTAACATATTTATAAGTCGATTGTTCTATTTCAGTTCTAATTATTGATTGATATTTGTCGTAGATGGTGTTGCACCTAGGGCAAAAATGAATCAGCAGAGATCTAGACGTTTTAGAGCTGCAAAAGATGCAGCAGATGCGGTACATGCGCTATTGAATTTCTCTAGGGATATATTGTCAACTTCGAAATGTTTTAGGGTTCTATCTCATCGAATCTTTTTTAGGCAGCTGAGGAGGCAAAGCTGCGGGAGGAATTCGAGAGAGAGGGCAGGAAACTTCCCCCTAAACAAGAATCACAAGTTTTTGATTCAAATGTCATCACTCCTGGGACTCCATTCATGGGCACATTATCAATCGCTCTTCAGTACTACATTCATCTTAGACTAAACCATGATCCAGGATGGAAAAACGTTAAGGTATCCTTGATGCAAATCCTTTCTGTTTCTAGTTTTCATTGTCTTTTTGTTTTCTCTGAATACTCTTTTGTGTTTGCCCTGTCTATGATGTTGAACTTATTCCGTGCTTATTATTTCAACTACTGTTTGAAGGTTATACTTTCTGATGCAAATGTTCCTGGTGAAGGGGAGCATAAAATTATGTCCTATATTCGCCTTCAAAGAAATCTTCCTGGTTATGACCCAAATACACGCCATTGTCTTTATGGTTTGGTATGTCTTATACTTTGAATTACTTGCAATTTGCATTCAGAACACTTCTCTATGATTTCTTGAAGTTAATGTTAGACAACTTACATATCTGATTCTGGTTCCACATGACAGGATGCAGATCTAATCATGTTGGGTTTGGCTACTCATGAAGTTCACTTCTCGATACTCAGAGAGGTTTAAGTTCGACTTGTTTATGTTCTCTCGTTACACATGTGAACATTTTGGTTTTAAATGATTTTGAAAAGAAAACTGGAGTTTTTATGTTCACAAAGAACCCTATTTTTCTATAAGGGCTCACAAAGAACCCTCGCTTTCACTCATTGTTCTTAAAATTGTTGATATTGGTTCTGGTTCTTCTTCAGCATAACATTTTGTCATATTGTGTATCTCTTTTTAGAAGTCTTATGTTCTGTCTTTTACTTTGCCTCTTATTTTGACGAATCCTGCATCTCTACGTCAGGTTGTATTTACTCCAGGTCAGCAGGATAAGTGTTTCCTTTGTGGTCAAATGGGTCACTTAGCTGCAGATTGCGAAGGAAAGGCAAAACGAAAAGCAGGAGAATTTGATGAGAAAGGCGATGCTGAGGTCGTGGCAAAAAAACCTTTCCAGGTAACATTTGAGTTTTCTGTGTACGAAGCATAGATTTTTAAGATGTTATTCACAAGTAATATCTGGAATTCACTTTCCTAATCTTGTGCATCTGTTGCAGTTCCTCAACATATGGACTTTGCGGGAGTATTTAGAATATGATATGAGAATTCCGAATCCTCCATTTGAAATTGATCTCGAGCGGATCATTGATGACTTCATATTTATTTGTTTCTTTGTTGGCAATGATTTTCTCCCACATATGCCTACACTTGAGATCCGTGAGGTCTGTACTTTCTGGATTTGGTTTCCCTTGTTTTCTATATCATATAGCTGTGCCTTTGCCCCCGAACTGTACTTGTGAGTTGTGACTAGCTAAACAAAGAAGTAAAATAAAACCAAGTTTTATATTGTACACTTACCACGAATAAAGATTTGTATCATGCGGTGTTGTCTATCTCTTTTGTTGAGCCAATGATTTGTTACATTTTTAAAACTAAACTTAAGATTTAGATTCCAAGATTCCGAGTGCTAACTTTGATGGAAAGCTCAACTGGTGATATGTCAATAGGTAAGAGGTGGTCTGTGGTGAATACATTTTGGGGAAAAATGGTCACAGGAACTCCTCCATTATGCTTAGAGGGTGTTTGGCTAAGCTTATAACCTGGTCAAATTGGCTTATAAGCACCTTTTGACTTATTTACGCGTTTGGTAAACACCCAAAGTGCTTTTAAGCCAAGTGCTTATAAGCTAAAATCAGCCATAAGTCATAAGTTGGTCATCCTCAACGTATAGCTTTTCAGCTTATAAGCATTTTCAGTTTGACCATGACTTTTAGTAGTTTATCCTTGATAATATATTTTAATTCATAAAATATTTTTCCCAAAATAAATTTTCCAACTTTATCTTCATTCCATATTCATTTTTTATCTTTTTCTTTACAAAGAAATTTTTTAATTTAGATTCTTTTGTAAAGTTTTGAGGGTATTTTAGTCATTTTAACAATAAATAGTTTGTCTACACTTTTCTACCAAACACATCAACTGGTTATTGTCAATTTCAGCACGTCTATCCATAACACGTAAATGCTTATTTAAAAATTCAGTTTTTGCACTTAAAAATGCTTTTCACCACTTCAAACTTATCAACTATTTACAATAAGCTAATCCAAACTGGCTCTTAGTAGATCTTAATAGCCTACTGTTGCGATAATGATATGTTGATTGGCCTTGAAGGAGAAACTGTGAAAATGATAAAGAGGAATAGATGACATAACTGTTATTTATCATCACAAGTGTGGGTAACTGATTTATATGAAAGGAACACGTGTTAACCTTTTCAGTTAGATGAAAAGCTAGCTTAGGAGCATTTATGTATTAAATGGTGCTACATACCTCTAGAATAGGCAAAACATGGCGTTGTATAGTCGAAAGGGAACGAACAGCTGAAAGGTAAGAAAGATCAAAACAACTAATGATGATCTGGAGGTTTTAACTTGCCAGCTTGGAAAGATCTTTTCTCCCATGTTTTAGCTCATGGCTGGCTACTGATTAATCACTTCTCTTTCTGTTTCCCCTCTTCAGCTAGATAACATGAACTTATAAATTTTCTTGATGTTTTGGACAATCTGTTTGATGTTTGATGTATATTCTTACTGGAATGCAGTAATAAGGTCTCTACCCCCCTTAGAATCCTTAGAATCGTCTATTGGATTTTTTGGGAAGATTGTGCTATGATTTTCTTCATTTTTGTTTATATTCCTCCTGTTCAGGGTGCAATAAACTTGTTGCTGGCTGTTTATAAGAAGGAGTTTAAGTCTATGGGAGGGTATCTAACTGATGGTAGTCAGGTATATGGTTGTTTGCTAAAGGCTCATAGATCTAAATATTTCCTGGTTAAAATCCATATACCAAGTTATTCTTGGAACTTTTACTTATATCTGTGATTTGATTCATTTACTACTTTTCCAGCCAAATCTTAGCAGGGTGGAGCATTTTATTCAGGCTGTGGGATCGTATGAAGATAAGATATTCCAGAAAAGAGCTCGCTTACATCAGGTCTGTTCTTGTCTGATCATTCCTTGCATTTTCTTCTAAACTTAAAAAAAGAACCTACCTTCATTGCCTTTAGTTTATTGCAGAACATTTTCTTTTGATTTTGAACTTGAGTAGTATCTTAACATGAAAAGGTTAACTTGCTGCTCTGTCCTGTTTCCGTTCATCAATTAAGAAATTGATAACGAGAAGAGGACAAAAAAGAGGAAAGGAGAGTGGAATTCTTGGGACTCATGATCTGTGAAAAACCCTTGTAGCAGTGTTAGTGGCACTCATTTGTTTATCAAAATGTTGTTGTAAATTTAGTGGTGACTTTACTGCTAGCTTCAATACAGAGTTACCATTATTCAAAGTGTTATTCTACAATTAAACCTTTCTATTCTATTCTAGTGCAAAATCTTCTTTGAAATGATGCTTTCGATCATTTTTTGTTCTCAATGCTTTCGATCATTTTTTGTTCTATAGCTCTCTAAAGTATCCTTGCTTGGAGCTAGGGCTTTGCCCTTTTGATTGCTTGCTAGTCACATTATCTATTAAAATAGGTACTTTTGAGTGCCAGCCTCCTATTGCATGTAACTGGGACCTACAGTTCACTTTTATGTGGTTTTATTTCTTCCAGAGACAATCTGAGAGAATCAAGCGTGAAAAGGCCCAGTTAAAAAGAGGAGATGACTCCGCTCCTCAAGCTGAACCTGAATCTTTGGTTCCAGTTGCTCGGTTTGGTGGTTCACGGCTTGCTTCAGGTCCTTCGCCTTCTCCCTATCAACCGGGGGGAACTTCAAGACGTAACCAACTTCGGCATGGCACATCAAGTCTTTCCATCCTTGACATTCAGAGCGAGCACTCTGGGACTGTTGATGAAAAAGGATCTGTTGCTCGTGCCAAAAAAGTTGCACGTTTGAGTTCTGGGGCCACGATAGGAGCTGCAATTGTTGAAGCTGAGAATAGCCTTGAAATAGAAGTATGTTTTCCTTCTTAGGCAGAGGCATTTTTAATGTAATTCTTAGTCCAGCCATTCTTTAGGACTAACTAGTATCTGATTGACTTAGCTTTGTTTAGCTGTCTTATAGGAGTGTATAANGGGCATTTTCAATGTAATTCTTAGTCCAGCCATTCTTTAGGACTAACTAGTATCTGATGGACTTAGCTTTGTTTAGCTGTCCTATAGGAGTGTATAATGTTATACTGTTATTTAACCTTTTGTTCTTGATTTTCTGCATGTATTGCTTTCATTCCTTTGACATTTTTGAATATCATCTAACACAATTCTGTTGGTTGTGACATCAGGTATTAGAAAACAAAGAAGAGCTGAAAACAAAACTAAACAAGTTGATCCGCGAGAAGAATGACGTTTTTAATTCAGAGCATCCTGAGGAAGACAAGGTGCGAAAATAGCATATTTCCCATAAGCTTTTATGGACTTCAAGGTCAAATTGGTAGTAGCATAAGGGCTGGAAGTGATCCAAGAGTTTAGGAAAAGAAATTTTACTGAAAGCTGCTATTTGGTCACATTATAATATATATGGCTCTTGGAAAATGCTACTCCATGCATCATTTTCAAAATCCACTTACTATTTATGTAGTCAAACAACTGGAATTTTTGAGTTTTGGAGTTGATAATTTATGACATTTGTGATGTATTTCAAAACCAATTATTCTGATTTTATGAGAATGATGTTAATCATCATTCCATTCTTATACTGAATTTTTATAAGTAAACTTACATCAAGTTAATGCAGCATAGAGGGAATAGCAGGTTTAATTGCAAAGTCTCACTAGTCAAGGCTTTCTAGTCAAGTTTTACATGTCTATTCGTGAGATTTCCAGTCAAAGCCTATACCAATTGTCAAATTCTTAGCTATAATATACAAGTCAGAAAGTGATGCATTTGGCACATGTAGGGCCCGAAAAACCAAAACTAACCAAGCATCAGCATGAGCTTTTCAACTTTGTCTGGAAGTTGATCTGCAGAATAAGCCTTAGAATCAGTTTAGTGTAGAAAATCGTTAAAATGTCTGTGTTGGTGAATTAATATGGTAAATGCAAGGTATGCTTGATTCACTGTTAGACATCATGCAGTCCTTGTCAGAAAAACAAGGACGTACTTGTGTCTTTTGAAATTGTAATATGGCTATAAATCCCAAAAAAATGAAATTGTAATATGGCTATTACACACCCTTTTTGCTAAAAACACATATATGAGATAGTTACTTCTCTAAAAATGCAAGATATGCTGGAGTGATCTAGCTAAACCTATTTCCATAGGAATACATGATGGTTATCACTTTTGCCTTATTGTTAAATTTAAAAGCACTGCTGCGAAATGCTCTGAGAGTATGACTATTATCAACAATACATGAAAGTGGATGTGTTCCACCTAAGTACCTGAGTTTGTGATCACGGAATGCTTGGGAGGCATTTTAACGGTTATTAAAATTCAGCGCCCCAATGGGCTGTTTTTTTTTTCCTTTCTATTTTAATCTTTGGGAACTTATAATTCTTAATATTTATCAAAATGACAACAAGTCAAATGGTGCAATTTGATATTGTTGTCGTTTACAGATTTATATTGAACTGCAATCTGATTTGTATTTACAGATCAAACTGGGAGTGCCAGGGTGGAAGGAAAGGTATTATGAGGAAAAATTTTCTGCGAGGACACCTGAGGAAATGGAAGAAGTACGAAAGGACGTTGTAAGTTATCTAAAACTTGAGTAGCATCTTTACTGATGAAGGTAAAACGTTTGGATGGTTGGAACTTTAGAACTCGACATCTTCGATTTGATAATCTGGCGCATCTGAGTTAAACATGGTGCATATGTAGTTCAATTTACTTTTAGATATCAGAATATCCGATATTTTTGAGCTATTTTTCCACGTGAGAGGCGCACTCTGATGGCTTTTATAGTATCAGATGGGTCTCGAATAGATCAATGCCTTGTAGTTTCTAGATTCCCCGATGCTATATTTGGACTCAACCATGATAGGGGGCCTAAAATGACTGCACGCTTCAGCTCTTGAGGCTAAAATCCATGGATTGTTTTCCCGATGAGTTGTTGGCCGTCTTAGGCAATTGAGCAAGATTTAGTTTTGTTTATACATCTGCATCCATAAGAAAGTGATTTCAGTCTCATCTTAACTTGGTTTTTATCTTATTAGGTCCTGAAATACACAGAAGGGCTGTGCTGGGTTATGCACTATTATTATGAAGGTGTTTGTTCCTGGCAGTGGTAAATTCTACCTTTGTGATGCTGGAATTTTTTCGTGCGTGCATGTGGATCTATGATATCACATGAATGATGTGCTAACTAATATCAGTGTGCATAGGTCTTTGCATAATATGTTAAGTTCTGTCCACATTTGCTGGTCATATTTTCTTATAATTGATAATTTTATCTTTTACTTAACATGCTATATTTTGTGCTTCATGTTTCCATGGAGAATGTTTTTTCTTATTCTTCTTCTACTTTAAACACTGGAACGATCATTGTGCTAGAGATGAAAAATGATCTGGACATTGATAAGATCAAATGTGCTGTGCAAAACACTTGTTGTGTTCCCGGTTTCATTGCTTAAGTTTTTCCGCTGCAGGTTTTATCCTTATCATTATGCTCCTTTTGCTTCTGACCTCAAGGATCTTGGGGAGTTGAATATCACCTTTGAACTAGGTTCTCCATTCAAACCATTCAATCAGCTGTTAGGAGTTTTTCCTGCTGCCAGGTTTATACCTCACTTTTTGTGTTTCTCAAACTAGATGTCTTCCTTGAGGGTGCTGACTAGTTTTATATGCAGTGCACATGCTCTTCCTTTACAGTACAGGCAATTGATGACAGACCCAAACTCGCCCATTATTGATTTCTATCCTACTGGTAAGGCATTTTGTTTTTCATTTTGAAGTAACTGATTGTAAATCTGTTAAACTACTTAATTATATAGGATGACATGTATCTCATTTGCTGGTATAGTGTCTTGCTTAAATCTCTAATTGAAATCTCATACCTTAATGTTGTTGACAGATTTTGAGGTGGACATGAATGGGAAGCGCTTTTCATGGCAGGTACTTGTTAAATTAATTTTCTTAAGTACAGTATTCTCATATTTTTGTACTGACATCTTTCTTAATGTGAAGGGTATTGCCAAGCTACCTTTCATTGATGAAGCCCGGCTTCTTGCAGAGGTTGCAAAAGTCGAACATACCTTGACGGAGGAAGAAGCACGAAGAAATAGTGTGATGAATGATATGCTTTTTGTATCACTATCTCACCCTTTATCTCCATACATTTTTTCTCTTGATGATCGTTGTAAGCAGCTGACAGACTATGAACGTGTTGAAGTCAAGGAGCGCTTGGACCCAAAATCAAGGTTTGTTTTGCTACATGACCTGTGTAAATGAACTGCCTTTTAATTTGGACTTTGAAGGACATTAACTAAAGTTGAAAAGAAAATGTTACTGAAAATGAAAATTCAGAGCATTTCTTGTTGAAATTTGGCATCTCATTTTTCAATTTTCTGTGGAGGTGTATTGATATCCAAATTCTGCTCATCTTGTCCTGCTCATCCCATTACCTGGATTATCTACGAAATCCATCTGTTCCTTGCTACCGTGTTTAGAAAATTTGTGAATTTAGAATCTTAAATCATCTACCAGGATATTTGGAAACAATTGCTGCTTCCCCTCCTCATACACAGGAACATGTATTGAATAATTCCGTAAATTTACTCACCCTTTATGCTGTTGTTCAACTCTTTATCTGGATACTATGTGAAGCTATCTATTCCTTATGGTATTCTTAAATTTTTTTAAACTTGAATCTTTTTTCATCTACCGGTATATGTGAATCTTGTTTCATCTACTGGTATATGTGAAGACAATTGATCTTGCTCAAATCACACACATG